GTGTTTTTCCAGGAAATGTCTATTCCATCTAAATTTTTTTAAAAAGATTTTTAAATTTATCTTAGAGCAAGAGAGCAGGGGGAGGGGGAGGGGAGAGGGAGAGGGAGAGAGAGAGTCCCAAGCAGACTTCATGCCAAGCTAAGAGCTGACTCTAGGCTTGATCTCACAACCCCAGCCAAAACCAAGAGTTGGACGCTTAACCAACTGCACCACCAATGTGCCCCTCCATCTAAATTTTTAAATTTATTCACATCGTTGGGTATATTTTTAATATCGCTAAGAATTATAGCAATGTCCCCTTTTGTGTTCCTGATATTGGTAAGCTGTGCTTCTTCTTTTTCTTGAATAGTCTTGCTACAGATGTATTAATTTTAAATATTTTTTAAAAGATTTTGTTTATTTATTTGACAGAGAGAGATCACAAGTAGGCAGAGAGAGAGAGAGGAAGGGAAGCAGGCTCCCTGCTGAGCAGAGAGCCTGATGTGGGGCTTGATCCCAGGACTCTGGGATCATGACCTGAGCCGAAGGCAGAGGCTTTAACCCACTGAGCCACCCAGGTGCCCCTGGATGTATTAATTTTATTAATTTTATTAGTCTCTTCAAAGAACCAACTTTTGGGGTTTTCTTATTTTTTTGTATTAGATATACTTTAATTTATGCCAGCTAATATCTTCATTATTTTCTTTCTGCTTTTATTGAACTATTGTTTTTCATTTCTTGAAATGGATACCCACTGCTGTTCATTATTTCTTACAACCTAATCTTAGAATTTAAGTGACTTGCCTAAGGTCATATAGCAACAGAACTAGAAGAGTCTGGGACTGTTAACCCAGACCCATGTTTTGTACTCTTCATCATGATGACTTTTGTTTTCCTAGGAGAGGAAGAATAAAAAATATTAATATTCATTGAGCAGTTAGTATGTTCAGGCACTGTTCTAAATATTTGACATGTGGTACTATCTTTTAAGCCTCTGAATTACATATAAACTAAATAGGACAATTTTTTTTAAAGTTTTATTTCCAAATGTCTTTTTTTTTTCTCTGTCTGCTGTCTTCTCAGTACAAGAATTAGAAACAGGTCTATGGAAACTCTTTTTCCCTCCTTTTCCTGGCTCCTTCTCTATTCATCTTTAAGAAAGAGACTTTTCCCTTTTAGGCCCTCCTTTTTATTTATATATACATATATATATGTACACACATATATATAGATACATAAACATCTCTCTCTATATATATCTATAAAATATAAGCGACATCTGCTTCACCAGCTGAGAAGCTAAAACCGGTTCAGATTCCAGTTTATACGTCAGAGTGGTAAGTCCCAAGGATAGCTAATAATGATGACAAAGATTTTTCAGCTTATACTTTTTTGCACTTTTTCCTTTTCAAACCATTTCCATATATTCCTATTTAGTACCAAGAACTGAATGAACAAGAAGCATGTAGGAATTCTTGGTTTAATCATGAGGAAACTGGGGCACAAGAAAGTTACATAACATGTTAGGGTCACACAACGAGACGGTTCGTCCACTTGGCGAATAATGGTGCAGTGATTCTTGCCAGGGGAATACATCCATATCATCTTTGGAGCTTTAAAACAAGTACCCAATCTTCACTTTTAAATACCTCATCTGTCTGTGGTGGACCTGAGCATCGGCTGTGTTTTTGTTGTGTTTTAAGATCTGCCGCTGATTTGTGTGGGCCCTCTAATAATGGAATCACCGATCTGCTACTTACCTATTATGCCCATACCATACTAGCAGAGATTGTGCTAGTAAGTAACAGGGCTAGACCTAAAATGTAAGGCTTCTTTTACTCAGTGTGATGGTTTTGAGTTTTACTCTTCACTGATCTAATATATAACTGTTTCAAAGTTTCTGTTGTTTTTAGACAAGAGCAATATAATACTGAAATTAATGGGCCCATAAGATGATCACAGCACTCTTCTTTGTCTAGACATTCAGAATTAGGAAATGATTGAGTTTTTAAAGTTTAAGCGTTCTCTATATATGCACCTAAATCTTGTAATGGCTAACAAGTAAATTCACAAAACCGAAGAGCCAAAATATCTTAAAAAGCCATCACTACCCTCCCCAAAATATACAGAAAAGCATTGGATTATATAATCAAAATGGGTGAATTATATGTTATGTGAATTATATCTCCATAAAGATGTCTAAAATAAATAAGAACACTACCATGATTCTCTGTTGTGATCCATACTTTGTATCTTCTTATTGAGAAAAGGAAAGAAATTTGCTTCTCTCCAGGGCTCCCAGGTGAAATCTTTCACTTGAATTGCATATCAGTGTGTGCATAATTAATTTTTTCCCAACAGGGTGTTGAAATGATATTAACCCATAACAACAACAAAAAAGAGACTTAGCGGTATGACATTAAAAGTTATTAATATGTAGGGCTTATAAAATATTTTCATAACCATTGAGTATGTCTTCCCTAACTTTTCTATAGAGTTAATATCGTCTACATTTTACAAACGGTGAAATTCGATGCCTCTAACTGCCAGTTTCTACACTGATACCTACTTTTCCACAGACGGTACAGATTGCCAGGGCTAGGAATACCAAAGACATAAATCATTTGGCTCTGCAGTATTAGTATTGGATTAAAACCAAATGCAAGTGGCAAAATAACACATGGTGAAAGCATGGGCTATGTTTCTATGATGCCAGGCAGAGTTGAATTAATTCTTTGAGAGGAGGTGTGAATACACATGTATAATGATAGTTTAACACAACTGTGAGCAAAATATTTTGTCACATTCCCCTGTGTTGTTAGATTTGGTCTGCCATCTGCCATTCTTGCACTGAGTAGCTGAGAGCACCAGCACCCATGAGTAGCAAGGACTTGCAAGAGGCCACAGAATTTTCATTGGAAGATAGACGATTCCTTTGTTTCTCTGGTTTTCCATGTGTATACTTTGAGAAGTGATTTCTTTCACTGGAGATTATTACTGGGAAATGAGCATTTTTTTCTTGGAGTTGTATATATGAAGTAGTTGTGAATTCCGATTTTTTGTCTGTTCTGATTCATGGAATTCCTTTTTTTTAGCTAATATTTACTACTTATAAATCTAAATTTATCAAGATAAATTCAGAGTTGTCTCGGTGGTTCAGTCAGTTAAGCATCAGACTCTTGATTTTGGCTCAGGTCATGATCTCAGGGTCGTGAGGGGGAGCGTCACTTCGTGTCGGGCATAGCTCCTGGTTGAGATTCTCTGTGAAGAGTCTTCTTAAAATTCTCTCTCTCCCTTTCCCTCTGGCCCTCCCCCCACTCAGACACATTCTCTCTCTCTCAAAAAGAAAGATAATAAAATAAAATCTTTTTTTAAAAAGAAGGGAAATTCAGTATGTTCAGTTTAAGAAGGCAAGAAAGCATACAATAAAAGTTGTAAGGATTTCCATGCAAAATAATTAAAATTTAAAAATCGCAGTTCATGAAAGGATAATGACCTGTTATCAGAAATATTAAATCACGTGGAGAAGCACGTGGGTGGCTCAGTCAGTTAAGCATCCAACTAGATCTCATCTCAGGTCTTGATCTCAGTGTCATGAGTTCAAGCCCCAGAAGTTGGGCTCCATGCTGGGTGTGGAGTCTACTTAAAAATAAATAAGTAAATCATGTGGAGACACACTACATTTCTAGACACTGCCAGATAAGTGAGGCTACTACAAAGTATGTATATGGTGTTTTTTAGTCCCTGAAAGAATGAAGATAAAAATCATAAAAAGAGTATGAGTAGTTGTTTTTGAAGTAAGCGATCTGAAACTTAGCTGCCTAATAGTCCAACCCAAAACAACTATTAACTTTGAAAGATCAAGCTTTTGTTCTAAGCTTCTATTGCATATTATCTCTAGAACAGTATCTATACAGCCTTTTCCCTAAGTCAGGGTTCCTCAATCTCAGGAACCTTGGCTAGTACTGCCTCCTGCTTCTCTCCCCAGTTGCGGCAATCAAAAATATCTCCAGACATTCCTAAATATTGTCTGAGGGACAAAATCATTCCTGGTTGAGAACCACTGCCCTAGATACATCAGAGAAGAGGGGCTATAACACAAATTGATAATATTCTGAGAGGGTAGGAGAGAACTCAAAAGTTTTTTATTTTAAAGGACTAAAGGCCAAAGGTTTTGAATTCGTATTATTTTAATCAAATGACTTATTAAAAGGGAAAGTATCTGGTTCAAAGGTTTGCCCTTAAACATCAAAAAGTATGCATATCTTACAAGATCAGTTTATCAAGTTATTTTGTAATCATTCCAAGCAGGCTTAACAGAAGAAGTCAGACTTGATCCTTTTTCCTAGAACATAGTTTTTAGTTTCCTAAAATCACCTATAAATAAATGGATGTGTATTTCAATACAGCTTCATGAAAGAAGTCAGACTTAATTAGCCTCTTTTTTTCTCCATAGACTACATTGCAGTTTCTTTTCTTTTTTTTAAAAGATTGTTATTTATTTATTTATTTTTTAAAGATTTTCTTTATTTGAGAGAGAGAAAGAGCATGAGCAGGGGGAAGGGCAGAGGGAGAGAGAGAAGCAGACTCCCCGCTGAGCAGGGAGCCCGATGCAGGACTTGATTCCCAGACCCCCAGGATCATGACCTGAGCTGAAGGCAGATGCCTAACCCACTGAGCCACCCAGGCACCCTTATATTGTAGGTTCTTGAAACTAACAGAGTACAAGGTTAAACAATCTTGCTAACTTTTTAATAAAAAGAGTTTTTATTTTCTTTTCGTATTTGGATCTGCTCTGCCCCCTTATGGAACACAATAGCATAGTTTAGCTTCTCTGTTTTAGCTTTTTTAATGCCATCAGTAACCTGGCAGAGCACTAATGATTTATTTTTTAACTTCTGTGTGATAGCCCACCGGACACTGTGTCCTGGATTCACAATTATTTTACGTGGTGACTCTAAATGAAGTAGTATAGTGACTCTTGCCTTCACTTATCCTTCCCTTTCCCCTTTCTCACGTAGCAGCGGCTGTTGATTCAGACCGAAGTCCCCGGCCCACCTCTGCACCCGCCATTGCTCAGAGTCAGGACACAGAGGTTTCTAAAGCACAGAAGGAAACAGTGAAGGTTGAAGAGCAAAAGGAAGAAGTGCCACCCGGGCAGGCTGAACCGGAACCCACAGAAGTGTGGAAGGTACGTCATAAATCCAAATATCTGGCTAGTTCACTTTCTAGTTTAGACATGTTAACTCCTTGGCCAGGAAGGTTTTCAAAGCATTGATTCTTGTAGAGTTCTAACAAAGTTATTTCTTCTTTACTCTTTCTAAAAGAAAGTATTCCCCATGAACCTGTAAAATATTTTCATAGAATTATGTCATGAAGACTAAACCATCCGAGAAGTTTTCAGGTGACCTACCTATACAGTTACCTAACTTATATCTTTTAAAAAAAAAAAAAAAAAAAAAAGAGCCTATAAAGCACATCAGCACTGTGATCATCTGCTTTTAAAAATAATTTTTACTCATCCAGAAGGAATCTCCACATTCCTTTTTAAAAGTAAGCTCTGCTAATAGGATTATAATATAATTTGATTTCCTAAGATAAGTATATGAGCAACATACCCGGAGAATATCCCAATTAGTATTACATAAAGCACTTCTATGCAGTTGTTCAAATCAAATTGTTTATGAAAGACAAAGATCCTTATGTAGGATCTGAGTTGCTTATAGTTCTGCGTTGATTGTACCGCAGTCTCTGATCTCATTGAAAAATCACCAATTAGCAGGTTTCCCAGGACTAACAGTAGCTGGACTGATCTTCTGTGTGTTGATTAGCCTTTTAAGCACATTTAGGCTGTGATGTAGTTGAGATGTTCAGAATTACTGACATAAACACAAGTATCACTGTTGACAACAGGAATTACTAGAGGCAGTGCTTTTTTAAAAATTACGTTGTTATATGTCTGTTAAGAAAATTAAAGCCAAAAAAATTTTTTTAACCATGGAAGACCTTAGTAAGTGCTCTCTTCTTGGCAGATGAGTTAATCCTGTTCTTCTGGACCCAGTTCAGTGTCTAGTTTATCTGTAGAGCAGTGACCAATTTGGCTTTGTTTTGACTGTATTAAAACAAAACAAAACAAAACTGTTCTACATGACATGCCATTTTTACTGTCTTTTGGGACCAACTTGAGTCTAAAGAGAGAAAAAAAATTGAGCAAATGGTAGATATTTGCCTTTTTTTTTTAACCTAGCCAGATGTGTATGACACTGGCCATCAGGTTCAGTATCAACAGTGCCTTTTTAAGGTTAGACTACCTCAGTTTTTAACGTTAGGATATCTCATCTGGCACTTTTGACTATTCCTCCATTTGTTGTACTAACAGGAAAGTGTTGGATTATTAGAGTTGGCAAAGGAATCTTTTTGAGTGGCTAAGATTTCTTTGGTGTTCTGCTAACATACTTGTTCTTTTTTTTTTTTTTTTTTAAGATTTTATGTATTTATTTGAGAGAGAGAGAGTGAGCAAGCATGACTGGGTGGCAGAGGGAGAAGCAGGCTCCCTGCTGAGCAGGGAGCCCAAAGTGGGGCTGGATCCTAGGACCTTGAGATCATGACCCAAGCCAAAGGCAGGTGCTTAACTGACTGAGCCACCCAGATGCCCCCATACTTGTTCTTTGGCCTATAAGTCAGATACAGGTATCAAGAATAGGTTCCTGTTGCTCTTGGGACCTGATAGAGGGGAGAGATCACTTCCTGGTCTATGCTTCCCATTCAAGTGCCAGTAGGTGGTTTTCTTGCTGATTAATTCTGTGTATGTATATGTTTTGAGATACTTACATAAAGATCAAACTAAAAATCACCTCTGATAACCTTCTATTACTGTAATAGTAGGGACAGAATTAAGGATGACTCTGAGTTGATTTTATCTGTAACAATAGAAAATAATTATGTAGTTTACCTGAAGCCATAGTTATTATATAAAGCAATAGTGTAATAAAATAACCTGTAACACTATATAAATTTCATTAGCTAACATGAATTTGGTGCCAGATAGAAGTAGCTTTTTGCATCTTGAGTCATTTGACAAGACCTATTTTGCAGATGTGGAATAGTACCTCGCCCCTATGCACACCTTTATCTCATTTAATGTTCTCTGAAGGGGCTTGACTACCTTTGCTACTTGGTACTTTTAGACTGAAGTAGAGGCTCTCACTTTGTTGCTGTTAGAAAAAAGCAAAGGGTCGTTATTCATTGAAACAAGTAATTTAAGCTTTACAAAATGATTTTTTGTAAAAAATTTTTGAATATTTTTTTTTTATTTGTTTGACACAGAGAGAGAGAGAGACAACAAGAGAGAGGATACAAACGGGGGAGTGGGAGAGGGAGAAACAAGCTTCCCGCTGAGCAGGGAGCCCAATGCGGGGCTCAATCCCAGGACCTTCTGGGATCATGACCTGAGCTCAAGGCAGTCGCTCAATGACTGAGCCATCCAAGTGCCCCTGCAAAATAATTTAAAACTGCTATTTGCTAAACATTCACTACTTTGTGGGTATATTGTCTCTACTTTTTCAATAAAAGACTTAGGTGAAATAACTTGCTAATGACCACACATCAAATATAATGGGATTCATAGTAGAAATGACACAAATTATCTGTTATCCTGGTAATTAAAAGTACTGTAGCTGGATGTGCTTATGATTTGACAGTATCACAAAATTTGGTGTTATGTTCTCTACATTCTGTCCTAGGAAAAATAGCACAATGACATTATACTACAAGGTAATGCTGCCAATTGTGATTAAAAAGAACGTGTCAAAACCACAGATTGGTGAGGTTCTATAAAGAAGTTCATGATACAAAGTGACTGATTTGATCCTTAATAAAAATTTTTCTAATTTTGAAATACCTACTGCTTTAGGCATTGCTCACTCTAAAATGCTTCCTCTTAATAGTCTGTTTGGGTTTCTTAAATTTATACTTGCTTCATTTGGGGTCTATAAAATGACTATTACTAAAGGTATTTCAAAGCTAGGCAGGAGGCCGCAGTTATTCTCTTCCTACTATTAAGGATGAATCTTATTTATCCACCAAACACAAGGGCTCCCGCTCCCTGGAGAGGAGATTAGAGATTGCTGAATGTTGCAGCTGAGCCCTATGTGTGCTTATTTATAAATCAGCCTTGGAAGTAATTGCATGCATCAGTAACAATTTGAATTGAGTTTATTTTGATGTTTTGTTGCCTAATAAACTCAAGGTGAAAGTGCCTCCTTAAATATATTGATCAACTAACAATTTTTTTTGTATTTACGTTTTTTGTGTCATATGTGGTTTATTATATGTGTGCTTTAACTGTAAAGATTTTGTTTTTGTCATGTATGTCCTACCTTGATATCTTCATTTGTAAATTCGTTTTTAAATGTTAAAGTGCTTCTAGATCATTAAAAAAAAAAAAGCCAAAACAAAAACACATGCCTTATTTAAGCCCAAATTATTTTTTGTATAAGTACTTTTTTATCAATAAGTGTAAAAATGTTTTCTTCATTGATGGAATAATTATCGTAATTTTCTTTTACTATCATTTGGCTGTCCAAATTACCTCTTCAGCCTTGAAAATATGATGGTGAACTAACAGATGACCATTGAAGAGTAATGTCCTTTCCTGTCACACCCTCATAAGACTGCATCATGTTGATCGTGTATCAGCTTATTTTGCAAGCAGCTTAAAGATGCGGCTTATTTGGAAATAATGCTACTCATAGAAACCTACTAACCTAAAATGTTTTTACCACTTTATTTCTTAAATGTAGGTGGAAAAAACCCACATCGAGGTCACAGTACCCACCTCAAATGGTGACCAAACACAGGTTTGTGCCAACAGGCCACTTATACCTTTTCTCCTCCCTCCTCAATTTTTTTTCTTCTCCGCAACTCCCTTCCCTTAAAAAATATTATAAAGGTTCAAACAAACTTCATTGAGCCAATATTTTATCATTTTTCTTTTTTTTTTTTTAATAATGGCAAAACAGAAGCTTGCAGAAAAAACCGAAGATCTGATAAGAATGAGGAAGGTCAGCCATTTTTCACTTTCACAAAACTGCATTATTGTCACCCATGCTGACTTCTACAGTGCATTAAAAAGACAGTGATCCGTTCTTTTCATTGATTTCTCTTCATCAGAAATTTTCAAATTGCAGATATATATTTGCGCACATATCTATTTGCATACACTCACATACATGTGTATAGTGAAGAAATTATAATCCTATACTATTTGTTGAAATTTTTCATTACAATAAACCTCCCAGGAGGAAAATGCCTTTTTAAAAACAATGAAGTAACTAGTGAAGACCAAAACTATCCTTCATATTTAAACTTGATAAGAAATATTTCAGTGGCATCATATTCTTGGAAACATGGACAATATTTGATACATACTTACTATGAAAACCATCATAGCAGCAACTCCTGGCATTGTTCATAACTGTGTGTTTTGCTGCTCTGTGCCCGTTCTTCCCAAATATAGAGTGGGATGTATCAGTCCTTACTGAAGAGAATATTGACTAATCGTGTATAAAGTGCCCTTAGATCTTTCTTATGAAAGGTATTAGAGATATACCTACTGTGGTATTACTAAGTATGAACTATGTCTCAGGAAGGTAAATAACATTTTACAGCATTTTTCCATGCTGTGGAACATGGGATTTCAAAGCTTCTTAAAGTCCTGTACTTTAAGATAACTCTCAAACAGTTGAATTTCAAAAATGAGCATAAAACAGCTTACTATGTAAGAAGCCAATGAAGCCAGGAGCACTGTCTATTTAAATAAGGTCATCACTTTCTTCCATCACTCATGAATAGGGTCATCCGTTTTCTAGTGGTAATGTGTTCTGTGTGTGTCCTTGTAGTTTTGTGACCATTTCATGTTGGCGTATGCTGCGCTGTGGACTTCTCATTTTTTTGGTTTGCCAATTTGCAGTTTTTTCCCCGCAAGAACAACATTTTAATTTTTTATGCTTTTCTGTTTTTCCCCTCTTTCGTTTTCACAGAAAAAGAGAGAGAGACTAGATGGTGAAAACATTTATATCAGACATAGCAATTTAATGTTGGAGGTTTGTATGAACTTGAAGTTTATTTCAGTTGGTTGCCTGTACCTTCTGCGTTCTCTGCAATCACCCCTTTCTTTATGCTGCGCTTGGTTTTGCATGCCATTGCATGACAGAATTTTAGGTTTAAAATGCTTTTGCATGTTGGTAAACATGAAGATATGCAACCGTCTCTCCTTCTGACTCTTTAGTTTCCATCTGTCATACTTATCTAAAAAATATATGATTGGGACTACCTCTCCTTCTTGCGGTTCCATTGTTTTAATAACCAACTTGTAGAAAATTCAATATCACTGTCAAAAACTCCTTGAATTTTCCAAGAGTATAAACTCCTGTGTGTCCCAGGCATCAAATTTGTAGAATAGTTTTCATCTTCTGAACTGAGTATGGAAAAGTAGGAGAAATGATCCCAATTCAAAAATGGACTTAAAAATTGGAGATAGCAAAAAATGACAGGACAGTCAGGAAAGAAAAAAGATATAGGAAGGAAAGAGGGGACCTGGTATTTAATCTGTAATTAATATAAGATAGTTTATTACAAAAACAGGTCTGTGGGCATAAGATGATTAATTTAAAGATAAGAAAATCGAGCCTTAGAGAAATTTAATTTGCCTGTGGTCACAAAGCCAGTAAATTGGTAAAGCTAGGTTTTGAGTTAGGGTCTATCTATCTATCTCTATTAAACTTCGTTTTTTCCATTCAGAAATAGCAACGTACTATCTACTCTAGGAATTGTAAGGTCATTTTCTCATTACATTCAACAATGATTTGCTTTTTACCTGAGTTGTATTAGTATACTTAGCTAGTTTGGAGCTCCACCTTGAACAGGGAAATATGAAACTAATTAGAAGAGTAGGGGAACTCTATGAGGAAAAAGTAGAGAACGTGGAGTTATCTATATGGAAAACACTGAGGCTACATTAGTTTACACCACACAAAGACTCATATATAAAAGTTGACCAGATTATCTTACGATTTTGCTCAAGACAGAGCCAAAAGAGATGAATATAACTCTGATACTGGGGATTTAACTTAAACTTGAAGGAAACATAAATACAGAGGAAGATGATAAACATTGTTTCTGCCTTCAGGAAACTTAACAATGTGTAGAAGTAGGGAGGAAAGAAACAATAAACAGGTAAAAAATAGCAATAAAATGATACCAAGTTATTATGGAAGCTGTGACAGAAATAAGTGGTATGCTGTGCTAAGAAAGGAAATCTCTGAATAAGATGGGAAGTTCTCTTTGGAGAGAGAACATACTAGCTGAGACCTGAACGATGAACATACAAGAAATGTACTAAATAGTATTAAACTGGAAATCTGAAGAAACTTTAAAATAGATCTCTGGTTTAATATAATGACCTCTAATAGTTACTTAACCTTGTCCTATTTTCTGTCAAAACATACATTTTGAGTGCTTGCAAAGTATAGGGTACTTTAATAAAAGTAATAAAAATTTTGGCCAGCCTTCATTAATCACATACTGTGCGATGGGCACAATACCAAATACTTTATGTACATTTACCTCATGTAACATGAAGTTTTTTAAGGCCGGACTCTAGGATATTTCAAACTCGGCAGCTAGACCTCTGCTTGATTTCGTAACTAAAACTAGACATGAATGGTTCTGCTTCTGGGATTAGGAAGAATTACAGAGGTCAGATGATGTCCTTGTCCTTGACAATGTAACATCTCCCAATCCCAAACATGCCTTTTTCTTCACTAGTCCATCTTTAGTGCTTCCTTTTGACTGGAACCTGCAGTACCAATCATATATTTGTCATGTGTTCAATGAGGTGTGTTATGGCTTCTGAGACTCACAGAGTCCCTATGTGTGATGTGTTTTTTCTCCCCAACATTGCATTGGTAGCAACAAGAGGGGATTTCTAAATAAGTGTGCGTTTGAAAATTAAAACTACTAACTACTTTTTGAGAACATTTTATATTTAATGGTTTGGTTTGGCTGCTGCTAAAATTATAAGATGATAAGTATCAAAAAGTATCTAGCCTAAAAGCAGCCAAAGTAGTTTGGCTAACCATCATTCTCTAGTTACAGTAAAAGAAAAAAATTTTCAAAAATTGTCTCCCTTCCACCCCATAAGGATGTTCTCTCAAGTTATCTGTCACTCTAGCAGGTGGTGTGTTTTTTGTTTTTGTTTTTGTTTTTGTTTTTTTTTTGTAAAGCATCTCTCCTACCCCACCCCCACTAATGCTTTGTTCTGGCCAAATAAGGTCGAGTTCATTTTTAGATCTACTGCCTCCTCCTCCATCTCCCAGAGAAAACCTGTAGCAAGTGTCTATGACAAATTCTATTTGGAACAGGTCCCTTTGAGATCTTAATTTTACTCTGTGCCCCCACAGGTTTCTAACAGAGCCTGCTAAGAAGGATGGAGAAAGCTCCTTCAGAAGCTACTGATTTTATTGAAATATTTATTTTCTCAGGTTCCAAGCCAATCAAAAGCTAGGCAAGAAGAGTAACAAATCACCACTCTCATATTAAAAGGCAAATATAGAGAGTTATGGTTTTACCATAGCATCTTGCTCATTTTTGTTTTGTTCCATTCATACTTTAACTCTCCCAAATGTGTTAAGTTGTTCTTGGACCAAGCAGATTTAATTTCCAGTTAGGAGCTGGGTCACAGGAACTTACATACCTTGTGGGTCTCAGTTGCTCAGCCTACTACTGGGTCTTTGACCAAGTTTGTTCATGCTTTTCTTTAGCTAGTAAACATGCTTTTCTTGCTTTCAGCTAGAATAAAAGTGCACACTGTTGTTTCCTCATGGTGAAGCCCATATTCATGGGCTATACTCACATTTCATCCCAACAAGCAAGAGGTAATTTTATGGGGAAGCTACAGGATTGTCCATTTTGGGTTTAGTTTTCTCTTTGATCTCAAAGCAAACATACATGGTTTAGTCTTGCAAAAATAAAAAGAACAGATTAGTAAGTGAATTTTCTGAATGAATATCTCCAGAATCAAAATTATGTCGTGTGCCTCACCAATTCTTTTTCCTATGCTATTTTCCCTTTGACATTGCTTTTGAAAAAATTTCATTTAGTTGAAGCATGCGTGGCTCCAGAAAATTTTTTGAAATTTTTATTTAAATGAGTTCCAATTTTTCCCCCCAAATGTGGTGGTTTTCCACAGAAGAAAGACACAAAGAAAGAAAGAGGCTAATCTCAAAATTTATACAGCATATTAAAAGATCTATTTAATATTATGCTTTTCTTGGATACGGAGCTGCCGTGATATATAATAAACACAGAATTTTTAGCATTCATCAACTGACAGGCTCCCACATATTTTGATCTCAAGCACGGATCTGAGCTTTTTTGGAGAAGTATGTTGGACAAAGGACATTTCAGTTTTTGTCTTTAAATTGTATTTCCCATTTTATTTCTGGCCAAGTCTACTTTTTGAAAGTTGTATTTGCCTCCTGTTACATAAACCTGAATGTTACTTCTAGTTTTATTAACCTTTGTTTTGATCCTTTCTCCCTGGAATATCCCATTTAAGGGATATCAAACCTAGTTGTCCACTATCCAATTCTGCTGGAACAGTTGAGATATTTTTTAAACTGTTGAGGAGATATATAAGGTATTTGATGAATTCTTATTAAATTACTTCCAATCCATTGAAAGTTACTGGAAGAAGGTCCCTCTTTTGAATTCTACTAAGGGATGAAGTAAAGCTGTCAGAAGCTGGAAGGCATAAGGCTTTTTTTTTTTTTTTAAAGATTTTATTTATTTACTTGAGAGAGAGAGCACAGAGGGAGAGGGAGGAAACAGACCCCCGCTGAGCAGGGAGCTGGATTTAACTAAAAGCATGAATAGGGGGTGCCTGGGTGGCTCAGTGGGTTAAAGCCTCTGCCTTCGGCTCAGGTCATGATCCCAGGGTCCTGGGATCGAGCCCCACATCGGGCTCTTGGCAGGGAGCCTGCTTCCTCCTCTCTCTCTCTCTGCCTGTCTCTCTGCCTACTTGTGATCTCTGTCTGTCCAATAAACAAATAAAATCTTAAAAAAAAAAAAAAGCACGAATAGTATTGGTAAAGAAAAAAAGCCATCATATCACACACCTGAGTGATTTTTCATAGATAATAACAATTTGCTCTCAAGGCTTGGCCAGGAATTCTAGTGATAAATTCTTATAACAAGAAAGGGCTGTTCCTGTTCATCAAAACCAGTAATACCACCTAGTAATAAGGAAGCAGAATTATCTCCAGCTATAAACAGAGGGATGCTGTATGATTGCAACTCACCAAAACAAAGCAACCAATGGTGGCAGTTGCATCTTTTATCATGTCCTTTGTTTAATAGCTGCTCCTTATCTACTGCTATCTCCATCTTGCCTGAGCTGAGCCTCAATCAGTTCTTATCAAGACGGGGCTAACTGATCTGTGATATCACCCTCTTTGGATGAGGAGTTGGAGATCTAGCGCTGTGTTGTAATGGGAAGAAAAGTTGCAAAATTAAGGAGTGAGGTCTGTGGGTTACAAAACTGCTAAGAGTTGTAGGGTTATGATGCTTCACTGCTTCCAAGAAAAGCGCCTAATTAAAAAAGAATACTAAAAAAAAATGCAAGCAAATATACCATGTTGTATATTTAAAATTTGAATGCAATTTATGGATTAGTAACATCTGCCCTGGATGTGGTATGTTTTCTGCCAGTGCCCATATAGTCTAGTGGGCTTCCCCTGATGTGTTTTTTTCCTCTGAGTATTTATTATTTTGCATGTTTGTCCTTTCAACTGTAGGATTTAGACAAAAGTCAAGAAGAGATAAAAAAACATCATGCCAGCATCAGTGAGCTGAAAAAGAACTTCATGGAATCTGTACCAGAACCACGGCCTAGTGAATGGGATAAACGCTTATCCACTCACTCCCCATTCCGAACACTTAACATCAACGGGCAGCTTCCTACAGGAGAAGGAGTGAGTACTTCGTCCACGTGACCACTTGTGAGAATGAATGAAATAAACGTTATTGTCTATTAAATGTTCTATATATAAGTAAAGTAAGGTTAGAGCTGAAATTTAGCTTTGGTTCCTCACCAGTTCATTGCAGCTTTAAGACATTCATAATCAAACACTTGTTTTTAAGTCATATGGGCTACCCAGTCGAATTATAGGAGCCGTTTAGAGCTACCATTAGATGACTAGGCTCTTGAGAACTGCCTCCTTCTGGCTAGTGTGTATTTACAAATTGACCATAAGCCAGTGGAACTTTGTGTTCAAACTGTGCCTCCAAGGACCAGAGAATTTACTAAATTTAGTAAGGTCAGAATTGGAACAGGATAAACATTTTTTTAAACTTTATTTGAACATTTGCACAACTGAGAAATGTCTGGAATGGTTGACCACAATTACATAATAAACCAGGGAGACCTCTAAGCCAGAGAATGCAGAACACCACACATTAATGATATTTCAATTTTAGAAAAATTATTGACAGTTCATCTTTATGAGCAGCTTCAAACTTTTAACATGTTGTTTTGTAAGATAGTCACAGTTAGAAGAAGTTGGAGATACCTTTCAGGCTGGTTTTTTGTGTGTGTGTGTGCGTGCTGTTGTCATTACCTGTCATAGAAATCCTACGTCTGACTAAATGAATCTGTGTGATGAAATATCTTAAAAGTTACCTTAAGCATATATTTAAAAATTCTTAATCTTTAGCTTATACAGGTTAATATTTATATAAGTAGTCACAATGATTTAATGAGTGATGATAATAATTTTTAAAATTATATTCCTGGTTTTCACCAATAGCAACAGCAATTCTAGTCAAGAAAGGTAGTGATGTCTTAATAATGTTAAAAAAAAAACATTGTTTTTAAATTGAGAATTCATGGTAAACTATTCAACTTTGTTTAGTTTCTGGAACTGGAGAAGATGATAAAAGTTGACTCGCAGAGGGGACTTTTTATCTTTTTCAAAATGCGATTGAAATTGGCCAAGAGTTCTCCAAGTAGAGTCAGACCAGTTTCACCAAGTAAGACTGGAGAATTCCTGAATGATGGGTAGCTAGTTACCGGGGGTGACAGGATGCTGTTGTTTCTATTCTCCATCCTCTTCAGCCTCCATTCCCTGATGTAAATGGACATCAGTTTTAGATTCTAAATCTAGATAATGTAGCCTAAACAGAGACAGTGACTCTGCTTTCTATAGATCTAGACTTCAGGAGAAACGCCATGTTGCTGTCTTGCCTGGTTAACTGTCTCTCTAAACCATAGCTGCTTATTTTCTAGAAGCTTTCTTTTTGACTCTGTGGAAGTAATAAAAGATGCTCGATTACTTTGAAAAAGTAATTTAAGACTCTCTTGGAGTTTGGTAAATTTGAATCAGTCTCCATTTCCAGAAAATATCTTCTATCTTAATAGAAGAACCTTCCAGAAATCATCTCAGGGCTGGTTGGAAATGGGTATGTCATTCTGTGGACTTTAAAGAAAGGACTTTTATAAATGAGATTGGTGGGGAGTACTTGAGCCACTTTAGCTCTGTGCTTCTGTATATTACTCCTCTAAATGAATAACAGAATAAGTAAGAAGAACTGTCCTATGATAACCTTTTTTAAAGGATAACTCCACTTTCTGGCATATCTTACTTTTTCTTCAATGATGAGGGCAGTATTTCTGTTCTCTGGGGATACCTCTTCCGACTTTGGCAGCGTTGTTGTCGTGTTGCAAGGCTACTGAATTTTATATAATTTGTGTATGACCAGGTGAAGAAAACCTCTGTCCTTCCCTCGGAAAGAAAGGTTGGTGGGCCAGAGGTAAAGCTGCTGTTATGACTCGTGCTTCTCAATCCGAATTTGCTCTTGTCATGGCACTAAGCAGATACTCCCCCAGAACCGAACAGCAGCTGCTGAGTAATTTTTTTTCTTTTGGCTCTACTAGTAAATTCACACTCCACTGCCTTTTGACCTAACACATAACATTTCCACGGCTGCAGCTTTTGCAGCTTTCAGTTTGCTTATTTCAGCGCATGGCTGGTTGAAAAGCTGCATGAAGATGTAAATATGTATTCAGAGAGAAAATGAATTTAATTGTACCCTATTCTTTTTATGTTGTCTTTCTTCTCCCTCCTTATATTCTTTTAAAAATCATTATGATTTTGCATCCTTTCTTTCCTTTTTTCTTTTTTGCTGACCAGTCCCCCAGCTACTTTCTCCCTGATACATATCACTTAGGGGTGTGCAAAGAACCTGTGTCAAAATTCCAAACTGATCAGAGAAGGCTGGCCCAACTGAGAGAACTTAGAGCCAAGTTTTTCCTTTCATAGATAACATCTCTTGACTAGATGGCAGAGCACAGAAATTGTCGGGGGAGGAAAAACTTCTCAATTGGACATTTGGAAAAGGCAACTTACCTTAGAATTGTCAAAAACTCTGCTTAATGTGATGTATAAACCTTCATGATGGTTGTTACTACTATTATTTTTAATCATGATTCTGCAAGACGGGGATGAAGTTTACAGTTGTTGAGATTTGTGGGGGGTTTTGTTTGTTTTTTGGTAGACCTTGGAGGCACATACAAACTTTTATACTTTCGTTTTTCTTTTGCAATCTTTAAAATGTACGGGATTAAGATTTTTATTCCCTTGACAAAAGCTAATTGCTGTTGAATTGTTGCAGTTTTTTAAGTCTATATGAAGGGATATGAGGATAACTTTTTATATTCTGCCATTCTGTTTGTAATAAAACTAACTTTTCTCATGGCGAGAAGAATGCTTCATTATTGGCTTTACCCAAGTGATCTAAGAAAAATTGGCAGCACTAAAACAATGAAAAATGACCAGTATTCATATATGAGTATCCTTGAAGGAGGAAAAATACTCTTGCTAAGGAAGTCGAGTAATTGCTTGAAATTTCAAGACTTCTAATGTTCATTCATTCAAAAAATTATCTGTTGAATACCCGACTATGTTATAGAGACTTTGCTGGGACAAATTGCCAAAGTAAAGTAAAATAAAGAGTGTCCCAAAAGATCTTCCCAAATCCTTTGCACATCCCCAAGTATCATTTTTGAGCATTTTTCCATCTGTCATTTTGTTCATCTTTCTCTGTCTTTCTTGATCTTCTACCGTGAAAGCAGACACAGCAACGTGCTCTGTTAGTGCAGAATGAAGAGAAAATTAAAAGGCAAGAGAGATCTACTGAGAGAGCTTTGCCCCAGCAAGACAATGAAGAAATTCTTCCCAAGGTTTCTATTCCAATCCCTGAGGATCACAAGTCTCTCAAAAAGTGCCACCTCTACTCTAGTACTTTTCCATCTCCTCGTATTCCTTTCATGATGTCTTTTCTCGTGATTCTTGCGTTGGCTGTTTGGTGGTTGGTGTTTCTGTGATCGGAAAACAGGGTGCTCATCCGAAATGTCAAGACTAAAACCATTGAACTTTTGTCATTTACTTCTACTGTGTTATTTCCTGTATGATACCCTTTGATCTTCGTAGTTCACTGTCCTAGGGGAGCTCTTTTTGATCATTTTTCTGTCAATAAAATGTTACTCTTCGTAGAATGTGTATTGTGGGGTACAAAGGAGTAGCAATGGATTGCCCAAGCCAGCTTTTCCTCACTGACGCTTAACAAGTTCAGAGAAATCAGATATAAGTATGTGACAGTCGGTACTTTCCCCAAAAAGGTTTAACTCTTCTATCCTGCATGTGTGTATTGTTCACTGCTGTTGTGTCCTCTTCTCCACTGTTAACACGCAAAGCAGGATACTCGTAGAAACATTTGATGGAATATTTCCTAATCTTCTATAGTCATTTGTGTGGCATGGGCTCTGTAGTTTAAAAAAAAAAAATTCAACTTATTAATTTTTCAAAAGCCTTAAAATGATACATTTTAATCTATGAATCCATAACCACTCCTTTTCTTGAGATATCAAACCAGTATATACAAAGGCCTTTTTTGGAAAAGGGCTTTTGACTTCTGTGGCCTTCTTATGTGTATTTCTGAAATGTACAGGGAAAAACATCTTTATCCTGCCTGGTCTATAGAAGGGATCTGCAAAGGTTAAATGCCAGCTTTTCACAAGTAGAATGTTGAAGGTTTAAGGAAAATGGTGCTGTGCTGGTGCCCCCTTAGCCTCCAGCCAGGGCTGAATTTACAGACCACTGTACCCATCTTTAAAAGTCCTAGAATACAGATTTATTCAAGATCTGTACACAAATATACCCTTCTCTGAATTAATACTGTGTTATTTCTTTATGACTTAAGTAATTATATTGCTAGAAGCAATATTTAGCCATTATCACACGCTTAAAATATATATTGATATATTCTGTTTTCCTGATAGACTTCAGACCTGTTTACTCTTACATTTGTGTTGAAATCAATTGTTTTTAATTGATGGCTTTTGTGAGCTAAAGTTCTATCATGACAAGTATGTGTCCCTCTGTTTGCATGTTGATTTTTAAAGCTTCGCTGAAGTAAATATGGGTGTGCTTTGTTTTCACAACACAACTCAGATGTCTAACCTGTTATTTTTTACCTCGGTATTAATGACATCTTGCATGTAGCTTACTTTTTATGGCACTTGGATGTACCAATATGGATGCTTTGGTTAATGTCTCAAATATCTGTTTTGAAATCTGAGTTCATGGGGTTATCAAACTGAGATTTTTGCACTTTGTTTTACTTCTCAACACTTTTAGTTGATGAAACTTCTAAACAAGACCTTTTGTTTTTAAGATGATGGCTTCTTACAGCAAAAAAGAAAGAAGGAAAGAAAGAAAGAAAGAATACTAATGCCAAGAATCTTTTGTCCTTCAACACCCACCACAATTCTGTTTTTCTCTGGAGACATGTAGAAATAATTCTCTGGTATTTCCTGAAAACCGCTCTTCTGTCATCATAGGCTTTCCCCCCCAAAATGGGAAAAGAAGTAAGGGCCGGTTGAATTTTAAAATCTGTTATGGGTGTGTATCTTTCA